AAATGGCCCCCACAGTCACCAGATCTCAACCCAATAGAGCATCTTTGGCATGTGGTGGAACGGGAGCTTCGTGCCCTGGATGTGCATCCCACAAAAAGTGAACAGTAGCGGGCCCAGCACTGATCCCTGTGGGACACCATATTTCACTTCAGTGGGCTTGGAAGACTCATTGTTCACATGGACAAACATAATGAATAGGAGCGAAACCAAGAGAGCTGTCCCATTAAGGCCAACAACAGACTCTAGCCAGTCATGGTGTACTTGAAATACAGGGAATATTTCTAAATCTCACATTGTTTGCGAATCACTGAACTCAGTTACAGCAATTAACCTTCAGCCTTGCTTCTCTTAAACGGGAGGTGGTAAACTTCTAAATATTTTGATCTCAGAAAACATATAACAGCAGACGTCCCCGGCAAAGCCTGCTGATTCCCGCTGATGCTGGCTGACCATTTCTGTGCTCTGCTTCTCTTTGGAATGTGTCACATTTCCGGGTTGCCTTCATCAGGAACCTGAGAAGTTTGCTCTGCGTTGTGCTTACTGGTACTGGTTATGGATCCCAATGGCTCCCAAAACATTTCTTCTCTAAGATCAATGGATGGTGCATGCAGAGGTTTTGTAGTACAGGCAATCCCTGGCTTAAGAACATCCGACTTACACATAACTCATACTTAGAAACGGACTGCCATAAAGTTTATTATACAGTGGTACCTCAGAACTCAAATTTAATCCGTTCAGAACTCCGGATCAAATCCTACAAAGTTTGAGTTCTGATCGAATTTTCCCCATAAGAAATAATGGAAAACCAATTCATTGGTTCCCGGCCCCAAAAAAATTACACCTAAATATGTTTTTTTTTAGCATTTAAATACAAAATGAACTGGATAAAACAAGAAGAGCATATAATGTACTAAACACATCTAAGCACATTTATCAAAACAGTAATTTGTAAAGTAAGAAAATAAATATATCCAAACAATGTGTAAAGTTAAAAAAAACAACGTGTCCTGCCCCGATCGTCCACTTCTTCTGTGTGCCACGCCCCTTCGTTAACCTCGTGTGGAATCCCCGTGTGATCAGCTGTTTCTGGTTGTTGTCGTTAGTCCTCTGTATTTCGTCCGCGTTTCAGTTTGTTTCCCCAGTCCGGTCATTGTATTGTCCGTCTGCGTTTTGCCTGCCTTACCTGTAATTAAACCCCGTATTCCCGATACCCTGACGTTTGCACCTTTGTCTCCGTTCCGTCCCACTCGGCACGACAATATTATTATAATGAAATGTATTAATGGTTTGTTATTAATATTAAAATAATTAATAAGAAATCTTTATTATAAAATTTATTTTATTATATACTAATGATTACTGTTACTGTCTATCATTGTCTAAATGTATTTTTACTGTCTAAATATATGTATTCAGCTAGTGTAAACATGCACGATGCTATCACAGCTAATGTGAGGCTGAGACTGAAGCGTTACCCTTTGTTTCCGCTGAGAGACGTGCCGCGACTCATTTCCCCGCCTGTACAAATTATCTTAGGTCGGCGTTCACGGTTTGACTTCTGAGATTCAGATCGAGCTCTAGGTAAACTTTTTTCGAACTGGTTGGTTCGACTTTTAAGAAATTCGAGTTCTAATGAGTTAGAGAACTGAGGTACCACTGTATTACAATTTGTGTTAAATACTACACACTCGTGGAAACATTGTGTGGCTTCAGTGGTTTGTCGGTTCAAAGTACAGTGCGGTACAGTGCCGTATGTAGTAACTTTTATTAATACTTTATAATTGTGTACTGTATTGAATTCCTCACTTCCAAACCTCCTTTGATCTCATTCCCCCATTTGTGATGTGTGTAGTGTTCAGCTTACTGCTGTGACAGTGATCTCTGCACACTGTGCATGTGTTACTGTGGAATAAATCTACCCACCTAACATCAACCTGACACTTGATGGCTAGAATCGTGTTCATTATGCTGCTTTATGTAACGCCTTGCTTTCACCATGATTAAACCTTCATTTATTTTAATGAATTCTTAAATATAAGTTAAGAAGTCTATGCTGTGCTAATGTTTATGACATATTTGAATGGATGTATTGTCAGAAAAATTATGAGGTTCACTGTGAAAGCAGGACAATTTTAATTGGCGCTCTAACAACACAAATCTATATTCATAGACTATTCATGAGCAGTTAATTGCGCTGCAATGAACAAATGTGGCTTTCAGTAATATATAGAGATGCCTGGCAGTACTCTGACTCGGTTGATAAAAGCACAGAAACCTTGCATGCTGGAAATATTTAAATGTGCCCCCTTGTGTCACTAGGGGGCAGTGTTGCTGTAATAATGTGTCACAGCCATTCAGGAGAGAATGAAAGTGAAAATCAGCACAGCCACCTGAATAGCCATGCGATTTCCACAGAAAACTTAAAAGTCCTCTTTTTGAATTTGACTGTTTTTAGTTGTCACGTGTAAGAACACGATCGTGGTTGTGTTATGCAGTTAAGTAGAGTCCTGTTTAATTCCAAAGTCCAAAATGTGCTCCATGTGAACTGAAGCTATTCATTGCTTATTAGACAGGCATCCTGTCCAGCGTGAACTTTGACCTTTGTCTTGTGTTTCCTGGAAGAGATCATCCACTCAGAGAAAGAAAAGCTTTAATAAAGGCCACCTCAGTTCCCGATGCTACTCATCGTTTGTTGAAGTTGAGCTGTTCGGGGGCTGTGAAAACAGTGAATGCCTTTATTAATGCCAGGTCAATCAAAGTCACCCAAGTCCCCTTCATAACAATTCCGTTTTACTCCCCTGTTCAGCACTGGAGTGTTATTATTCTATATATTGAAGCTAATAACAGGAGACTGCTCCCCTGCAATGATCTCAGATATTTAAAGGTCCATATACTTTTACAGACGGTGATTTTCTGGGTAGCACTGTAGCTTCACACCTCCAGGGTTGTGGAATTGAATCGCACCCCTGCTCTGTGTGTGTGAGGCCTTTGCATGTTCACCCCTCCCACGGTGCACAGAAATGCAGTCTGTAAGTGATCTATAATGTATGGTTGTGTGTGCCCTGCGGTGGACGGGCATATTCTGCGGAGTGTTGCCCAGCCTTATGCCCGGTGCTGTCTGGGGTAAACTCCATCACCCTGCCCGGGATAAGCAGTTATAAGTTGGAAGGATATATGGATACATTTATAGTCCTGCTTATGCTGCTCACATCATCAAAATGGCTGCAGCTGGGGGCTGTTGACAGGTGCAAACTACGATCAGCTCTTCATTGATTTTCATATTTTGAGAGTGATTTATGCTCAAGTGAGAAGGGGAGCCATACTAATGCGCAAACTGAATTCTAACTCGGAGTGTAAACACACTGTTTTCTTTTTTGTGTTTTGCAGTAGTCTGTGCAGGAAGCAGAGAACTCGAGGCTTCATAAGTCACACCGGTCTAACGATCTCGGATACGCTGACGTTAGCTTCACATCTGTGTTATTTTGACAGATGAAAAACCCCATGTTGAACTGCTCCTGCGCCCGTAGGGAGAAAACTGGTGCGAGGAAAAAAATAAAACAAGCAAAAAAAAAAAAAAACAAGTGAAGTTCCTAAGGGCTTATTTTGAAGAAGCAGACTGCATTGGTGACAGGTCAATGTCACTGCTCAACATGACCCCAGAGCCATTGACAGCTGGGGCACAAAGTCTGGACTTTAATCTACGGATGTGAACGTAGATCGAGCTGAGCAAGAGGTAATGGCATTTCTCTCTAAAGTCATGTGCGTCTCTTCCAGTGTGTGTTTCTGGGCAAGGCAGACAGTCTCAGGGCACTGATGGCATCATCTCAGGAGTGTGAGTCCCAGAAATAATAAGAAGGTTCCTGCGTTCGATTCCCGCTGAGGTGTAGATCAGAAAAGAAGCATGGCGACTCCACCGGCAACGAGGGTGATGGCTGATGAGCCAGACTTCCTGCAGTTTAACAACCTGGCCTGTGAAACAGCAGGGGGGAAGGTCAGTACTCATTTAGCAGACACATATGAATTTAATCAGGTCACAGTTTTTACTGTAGCACTCCTTTCTGTAGGTTTCAGTGAACTGAAAGTAAAAATCTGTAGATTTAAAAAGTGTGACACATAACTAGATTGCTGTTTATATTTGTCTTTTATTTGCTTCCTAAACACAAATGTTAATTTAAACATTGCTGTTGTTCCAGGTGATATTTGCCACTGATGAGTGGTTTGCCCCTGCGCAGAATCTCTTAAAGGTACAGTACATGCTTTTGGCTCAGTTTTGACTAACCCTGATCTTCCTGTAATACGTTCCTGAACTTGCGTTTTTGTATAGGTGTGGAGGAGGAATAAAATACCCTGTAGCCTTAAGAGATTCATAAGACTGATGTGTATCTCTGTCCTAGAGGGAACCTGCAAAGTTTATCGCCTCTGCCTTCACGGAATTTGGGAAATGGATGGATGGCTGGGAGACCAGGAGAAAAAGAATCCCAGGTAGATGCTGTGTGTGATCGGAAGGTTGCTGGTTTGAATCCCTGGGTTCGGATAAAACCACCTGCTATATAAATTGAATATAGATATTCATGCCCATCCAGTCTCACGACCCATTGAGATCTCATATAGCTGTTTAGCTTTCTATATCAGAAAAGGGGACACAGCTGGAAGCTGAAGTGCAGTTAGTTTGCTGGGGATCAGTGTCTTCCAGTTCGCATTATAAAATGCAGGTCTTCTTTGTGCATTTCCACGCTCTAATCAGAGCAGGGCAGCATTCTATATCTCATCATTCATCAAAGCTTTGTGTGGACTGAGGTTCATTTTGTGCCTGTTGTGGGTGGTGTGTAACTCTGTGGGTTAGGCCGGTGTGCCGTTGGTTCAAATCCCGTGGTTGGCAGAGTAGTCAGGTCAGGGATGGGCCCTTGAGCAAGGCCCTTGGCCCAGGAGAAAGGCTCCTGTGGTGCCTGAGAAATGGGTGACCCTGCCCTCTGACTCCGGGGTTCACGCTCAACCTGTGTAGGTGTCCCAAAGGAGAGCAAGAGGGGATGTGTGGAAATTAAAGAATCCATCTATACCTGTACAGATGCCAAATGAAGTACAGTTTCTGCTTAAAGTTTTCAAAATGTGGGAGCCAGGAGTCTTACATATTCCTAGAATAAGCATATTGTACCTTCAAAGAGCTCTGACTGTGTCTAATCGCGTCTCCCTGGAAGGGCACGATTGGTGCATCATCCAGCTGGGAATCCCAGGAGTCATACACGGGTTCGACGTGGACACCTCCTTCTTCACGGGAAACCACGCCCCCTCTGTGTCCATTCAGGCTGCCTGTGTGGAGACAGGTGACCAGTCCCATCGTGCACTTCATCCTCCTGTCAACTGTAATTGTAAACCAAATTCAATGTTCTCAGTGGGAACCATAAAAGACAGCTATACTGTATATAATGGCTGCTTCAGGTCACTGTAGTTAGATGACAAGGGTTAATCTCGCATAATCTTCAGGTATATAATACTAAGGGTATGCTGCTGAAGGCTACTGACCTAGGGCAATCCTAGGATTTTTTGAAGGGGGTGGGCGTAAGAGGAACCATACCTCGTAGAAAGGGGCCAACCTTATTATTAGCCAATGATATGCTTTGAATCAGTGAGTGACAGGGAGGGATCACTCTGGGGACCAATCAGCTTTCAGCTGGGACTAGTACCCCTCTATATACACCACTGCTATTGGTTGTCAGTGTTTTTCCTATGGTGGTGCAGTGGTTAGCACTGTCACCTCGCACCTCTGGGACCTGGGTTTGAGTCTCTGCCAGGGTTCCATTTGTTTGCATGTTCTCCCCGTGTCATCGTGGGATATCCTCCGGTTTCACCCCCAGTCCAAAAACATGTTGAGGCTATTTGGAGTTACCAAATTGTGCATGGTGTGTGAGTGTCTGGTGTGTGTGCTCTGTGATGGGTTGGTGCCCCATCCTGGGCTATTCCCTGCCTTGTGCCCGTAGCCTCTGGAGTAAGCTCTAGACCCTACGCAACCCTGAATAGGATAAGCGGTTTTGGAAAATGGATGGATGTTTGTCCCATGGAATCATAGACCTGGGTTTGCTGGGGAATGTAGCCTTTCTCTTTGAACTGACATGCCTGCCAATAGCAGAGCTGAACAGCTTGCCGGTAAGTTTGCACATCACTCCATCCCACATTAATGAAGCTTTAAACTCTGTATTCTGTGAAGCTGGCTGTTATCGAGCAGCCTCCCTTTTAATCCCACATCGCCGCTCCCCATCTGACTTAGGCGGCCGGCCCCCGGCCCTGCGGAGGTCTGAGGCTGAGCGCACCGGCGCAGCAGCTACACGGGAGGAGTTTGAAGCTGTCGCCGCGGTGAGTGTGATCTTTATGGAGCTGCTTCGGTAACCAAAGCCAAACAGAAGTTCTTATCATATTAAACATACACTATATAGACAAAAGTACTGGGACGCCTGGCCATTACACCTACAGGAACTTCTATGGCATCGCATTTTAAGTCCTTAGGCATCAGTATGGAGTTGGTCCCCCCTTTGCAGCTGTAACAGCTGCAACTCTTCTTGGAAGACTATCCGCAAGATTTTGGAGTGTGTCTGTGGGAATTTTTGCCCATTTATCCAGAAGAGCATTTGTGAGGTCAGGCACTGATGTTGGACGTGAAGATCTGGCTGTCAATATCCGTTCTAGTTCACCCCAAAGGTGTTTCATGGGATTGAGGTCAGAGCTCTGTGTGGGCCAGTCAAGTTCTTCCACACCAAACTCACCCAACCATGTTTTTGTGGCCCTTACTTTGTGCACTGGGGCACAGTCATGCTGGAACAGGAAAGGGCCGCCTTCCCCAAACTGTACCCACAAAGTTGGAGGCATAGAATTGTCCAAAATGTCTTGGTATGCTTAAGCATTAAGAGTTCCCTTCACTGGAACTAATGGGACTAGTCCAAGTCCTGAAAAACAACCCCATACCATATAGTTGGCACATTACAGTCAGGCAGGTAATGTTCTCCTGACATCCCCTAAACCCAGACTCCTCCATCAGACTGCCAGACAGAGAAGTGTGATTCGTTACTCCACAGAACACGTTTCTACTGCTCCAGAGTCCAGGGGTGGCGTGCTTTACACCACTCCAAGAGTCTGGACAGAAAAGTCTTCAAAACATGCAGATGAAAATGTACTGTTCACTTATAAGAGTACTTCACCAATTTAAAATTATTATAAGTGTTATTGTTATGTTAATTGGCATTTTAAAGTTTCCCATGGTGTGACTGAGTGTGGGAGTATGTGCCCTCCCATCCCATCCAGTGCCGCCCCAGCCGTCTGCCCTGCAGTGCTTAGGACAGGCTGCAGCCCCCCCCCCCTGCGATCCTGAGAAGGATAAGAGGCAGTTATTTTGCTTGGTCTACTGTTTAGGGACTTGATTGGCTCTGTTCACTTAGATGTTTCTTGTGTATGACTCATTGTTAATGGTCGATCTAAAAACCACAATGTACTGTACGAACAGCACAAACACTACGGGCCAAATGACCCTGACTAAAACAGTTACCTGAGAGAAGATATATCAATAAACAAACACAGCATGGCGATTCGAACCAAGCAATTAAAAGCCAACGGGTGCGTTCCTTTAAACACAAATTTGGAAAAACTATAATTGAACAGCTAGCTCATTATTACAAATGAGCTATAGTGAGCTGATGGTGTGATGACCTTGATTGACAGCTGCGGTCAGAGGCGTGGGAGGAGCTCGTCCCAGTGTCCGACCTGCGGCCCGGATTCTCCGACACCTGTCACAATTACTTCTCCGTCTGCTGCCTGCGCAGAGTCACCCACCTTCGGCTGAATGTGTATCCTGGTACCCACACCCCGCTCTACAGCTCGCTCTCCTCAAACAGCTCCGAGCTAAATGGGTCACATGACCTCGCAAACCAGGAGCGGAGTCCTGCATTTGCTTTTAATATGGCTTCATAACAAATTGAAAATGTTAATTATTTTCAGTACGCCACAGTAGTATAATTACAAAATAACATAATAGTCTGCTTCTTGAAGTGGCAGACTTTGCTAACTGGCACTCACCCAAAATGCTTACTCACCTCCTCATGTTCCCCCCATGCATCTGTCCCCCACTAGAATTTCATGGTGTACCTCAGAACACGTGACAATAAAGCTTGAAACTTGAAGCCTTACTTAGGTTTACAGAATACAGTCGACCCTCCTGCATTGCGACTTTCTCCTATATCGTGTGGTCGGCATAAGAAATGAAATGGGAATTTTCTTGAGAGTTTTGTGAAAGCTGCAGATGACACACAAAGGCCAGCAGACAACAAACAAAAGGTTTAGTAACTCAAATGCATGAAATGTATGTACTGGCTGGTGTGGAGGCTTAACGTGTTTACAGCAGCATCTTGCAGTGATCTTTTTATCTGACTTTTCTTGTTATCTTGTATCTTTTTGCTTTGCTCCGCTCACCAAGGGGAGCAAAAAATTTTACGTGGTTTTTCCAGATCTCGGGGGACCTGTGATGAAAACCCCCATGATTTGGAGAGGTCGACTGTAATTATAAGCCAAATTCAATGTTCTCAGTGGGCGCCATAAAAGACAGCTGTCTATAATGGCTCCTTCATCCACCATTGCTGATGGCCCCTGAGCTTGACAGCTCAGTGAGGCTGTGCCTTGGCGTGTGTGTGCAGATGGAGGGATCGCTCGATTAAGGGTGTACGGTGTCGGGCAGAGGGACTGGAGCTCCGTGTCCAACCAGGAGCGAGTGGACCTCATAGCGATGGCCAATGGGGGAGTGTGTCTGGGATACAGTGACGCCCACTTTGGACACCCACGCAACATCATAGGTAGGAGAAGATACTTTTGTGAGCTCGCCTACCTCGCTGATGGCCACGCCTGTCCGACCGCATAATTCTTATCGGCCCAGACACCCGCGTCCTATTAAAGCCCAGGAAATCCCTCATCTCAGACTGGAATAATGGTTTGTTTTTGGATTTCAAAGGCCAGATTAGTAGTAGCTAGTTGTAACTAGTTGGAACCAAAACAAGGAAAGGAACTTTTGATCATCTCTTTCATCGTTGAATGAAGAGTTGCCTAAAAAATGTTCGTAGATTTGACCAAACAGCATAGTTAAATACTTAATTCCATCAAAAACTCTTCTTCAGATAAAATAAGAGAAATAACTTCTGGTTCTAACTTCATGAGTACTTCTGGAACAGACCACAAAACAAACCAGTAGAAGAAGTCCTGCATTTTGCTCGCAGCCCTTGTCAGTCGTGCTTGTTAACTCGTAGGTGACATGTGTTCGCATTCTGACTTGACAGGTTTGGGGAGGGCTGCCAATATGGGAGATGGATGGGAGACGGCAAGGCGTCTGGACAGGCCCAGAATACTGCAGGTCATCCGGTGTGGGGGTGGGGGGGCCTGCAGCATTTAGTCAGCTTGACTTCAAGAGCAAACATCTGCTTTATCTGCTTTATCTGCTTTGAAACGTCAGTGTGGTTTGGTGGATGGATGCGCAGACTGAATCAGCACAAACGCAGAGTCACTGTCCTTCAGAAATGCCTGTATGATTAGCCCTGCCTGGCTGTTTGTCTCTGCTTACGTCGCGCTTTACCCTTTGATAGACTCATGTCATGTGATCCCTTTCAGACCAATGAGATGGGAGCTCTGCAGGTGCCCGGCAGCGAGTGGGCTGTCTTCCGACTGGGACACCCCGGGGTCGTCAGCCTCGTTGAGATTGACACCAACTATTTCAAAGGTGATGACAGCGGCGTATGTAAATGCTCCTCGCCTTCACACAAACGTGACTGATCTGCTACCGTTACGTGATCCGTGCAGGAAACTTCCCAGACTGGTGTAAGATCGAAGCCTGTCAGCTGACCCGCGAGGAGGAGGAGGAGCAGCACGTTAAGTGGAAATGGAGGAGTGATGGCGGCTGCCTGTGGAGGGCGCTCCTGTCCCAGCAAAAGGTGTGGTGCTCAGGATGTTAGACCAGAGCGGGACGACGGGGGCACTGGCCCCAGCTGTAATCTGATAGGCTGCGGAGTGCCCCTTCACTTGTCATTCACTGATTCACAACATATCATCGGCCAATCGTATGGTTGACCCCTCCTATGTTCCCCGGCATAATGTTTCAGACAGCTGTGAAGGCAGCATGACACACATCAAGCTGCAGGTCAGTAAGTCAACAGAAAAAGCGGGATGTTCTCAGTTTAAGTGCCTTCACTTCACACATTTACCCTCCTCTTCTTCATGTGGATTAACAAGTGCGCCTGAGTAAGACGAGACGTTTCTCTGGTCAGCTGCCAGTGCCGCGCCGCCAATACTGCCGGGGAAAAAAATGACAAGGCCATTACATGGATCCATTGTAAAGACATTAGGTGGAGTACAGCGGATCTGGTTTGGGCTTTAAAACACTTGGGGAACGCTGCCATGTAACGAACCCCTCAACGCAGTGGGGAACAACATGAGAACACGATGCGGTGAAAAAAGAGCCTAAACCTCAAGCCCAGGGAACGTCACTGGGATGATTCAACCTCCAGAATTAGCCCTTTTCAGTAGGGACCCTTCCTGCTCCATTCAAGGAGGAATATAGCATTACACTTAGCCTCGTGGAGCTGGTGCAAATGGGGACGTATTTCACGGCCACTCACTCTTCTCTATTCCAGCTGAAAGCTCACCACAGACACTTCTTCTCTGGAGATACCCTGCAGCCAACGGAGGTGGTCACACACGTACGCCTGATCATCGCCCCCGATGGGGGGGTTAGCAGGATGCGCCTCTGGGGTCACCCAAGGCCACTCCTCAGACCCCCGGGCAGCAAACTATGAACCATCTGACAGCTACCTGGCCGCCTGACAGTCCAACAAAGCACCGGATAGCAGTAATGGGAGAGAGGAGGCTTTCGGAGGCTTTCGGAGGCTGACACAGCACGCGACAAATGCTGCCCCGTCTAGCCCAAAGGGGACCCGACATTAGGCACTGGGAGAAAGAGAAGGGTCTGGAAAATTGCCCTCCAGTCAGGGATTAAACTAGCAGACACAATACTGGGCTTTAAAACACTTGGGGAAATGATCCGGTCTCATTAAGGTTAATAATCATTTAATCATTGTACATTCATTGTGAAAGAAGTGTGTACGCTGTGAAATAACTTACCTCACAATGACTACATATATCATTTAAAGATTATTTTGTGATGCTTCATTTTTGAAAATGCTTACAATAAGCACATAGAATTTGAATGCAATATTTAATATTTAAGGTTTTATGTCATTATTGGAACACAAAGACTGATTGTCTTTCTCCACCTGGTATGACTTAGAGGTCTTGTTTGAAAGCAAGAGAAAAGATCACATTTCTGTCTCATTTTTGCTCTCTTTCTTGTGGTCCTGTTGATTCACAGAAGTCACCTGTAAAGGTCACTCTGTGTCCCGTCAGGCAGACTGACCCCCGCTTTCACTTCACAGCCCCAAGCTTCCTTATGTGTCATTTAGCAGCGACCGACGAAAACTGCATTGTATCATGTTCAGTAATGGAGACTTTAAATACCCATCGCATAAAACGTCTAAGTGCAATCTGAATAGTCCCAGGAGGCACCAGTGCTTGACTAATGGTGCAATACATTATGGGTTCAATTGAGCAGAGAATTACATGTCTTAAGCAAAGAAATAAAAATCCATTGAGAAGAAGGATTCATCCATTTGAAGTAAATTCTACTCCTACAATGCTGATGCTGAGAGATCTGGAACTTCAATACCAGGCGAGACTCAATCAACAGCCCATCACATTAAAAGGCTGATATGAGCCTTTAGGCTCCTCCCTGTCACAACTGAAGACAGGATCGAAGACTGAAGCCATGCTGGGAAGTATTCTGTCCATTAGACAGTACCTCCGAATATGCTCGTAGATTTCACTGTTCTTTTCAGTAAATTTTTCTTCTGTATTTTGCTAAATTCATAATATTTTATGTTTCTCGGATCATGATGACATCTCGAAGCACTGAGAGTTCTTTTCTGCAGAACTGAGTATTAGCTATTGATGCTGCAGTATAGTTGCTCTTTTAGATAAGCAGGTGGTTTTAAACAGAATCATTTCACCTTTGAGTCTCGGTTGGGCCTCAGCTGAAGGTTGACTCAGATATTGGGGTCTGTGTGGCTTTAGCGAGAAAATAAAAACTTATATAGTGATTGTGAATAAGAAGGAGAAACAGGTGAACAGGGTGAGTCCATAACTTACCAACCCCCCCCCCCCCCCCGTCCTTTTCAAATAAATTTCCATCATTCCCTGCATACACTGTTTTCACGAACATTCTACCATACCAAGTGTACAAACAGTACAAATTGGTCATTTGATGTCTAGCAATCTTTTCACATGTGATTTCTTTCAATTCTGAAAACTGTATACACTTACTTTGCTGAACAGGCCTCAAAACACAGCAAGATGTGCAGTTGTGTGTTATAACATTTTGACATCAAAACATTTTGCCATCAAAATTGTTTTGGGGATTTCAGACGGCAGGTGTAAAGGTCTGCGAATGACAAATGGGACGATGTCAAAACCTGCCCCACATACGTTTGAAAAATGATGTCATCTACCTAGAGGCCTGGACATTGGGTCTTGGAAAACCTTAAGTGAGTGATAGATCTTAGTCCAGCTCGGATACTGACTCCACTATTAAACTGGGAAAGAGTGATGGTCACGGTTATGGTTACAGGAAGGTTGCACCTCCCAACAGGAGCAGTTTGCACTTAGGTAGGCCAAGGTCCATGGTTTGCTGGGCCCAAAAACCTTCCTCTGAAGATGGTTAGAAGTACCCATATAAATATCTGTATTTTTGAGAATAAGAACCAACTATCAAAAACATGCTTAGCAGGAATTTGGGGTACTAAATCCTTCTTTATACAGAAGGATCCTCATTTAAAAATCCTGCTTTTGCTGAAAACTTGATGATGCTTAGATGTCTAAAGTCAAAGAAAGAGGAGTATGTTTAATATTAATACTTCTGTCTGGAAGACTTTTGTCATAATTGACCATGACCTTCAATCTATACTTTCAATTTCTCCATGCCTCCTTATCATTTTTTCATTTTGTTATTTTGCCCTGTGACGTCCTTATTGATCTATCGTCCATGTCACTTATAAGATCATGTCGGTGCTCCCTTCTCTCTCCTCTGATGAGCTTATTCTCTTTTTTGTCACAGTCATCAGTCCTTCTTTATGCCTCTTTTTGCCAGTGGTCACCAAGCTATTTACTGGGTGTGACCCCATTGCTTTAGGGAGTGTCCGTTATTGTGTGATCACCAGTGCCGGAAGGACCTTGTTACTCCTGCAGCTCCGATGGTGACCCAGAAAAAGCCCTTGGACGAATAGTGCCACCTGGAGGGAGACATTTTAATTACGTTTGCATGTCATTTCAAGGAAGGTGGTGTTTTAATTGTCTTAGGAAATAATAGATTTATGCAAATAACGAAGCCACATGGACACATGTTATATCCTTTGTCTGTCCCCTGTGCTGTCCTGTGCTGTACTGTATGTGAGTGTGTCCATTGTGTTTTTATTTCACTAGTAAAAAGGTCAGTAAACCAAAAAAAAAATATATATATATATATCAGAATGAATAATATGTGGAATGAATAAATGAGATGATAACCTGTTACACAGAGATCCTCAGATCTACCACAGCGTATTAAAAAGCCACTAAGAGGATATTGTTTTGTGACATTAAGGATCTATCAGGTGTCCTTATGAGCAGATTTTACTGTAAGAGTCACTTGGAAATGGCCATTTCTCATCCTGCTATGTTCTTCTAGATAAACAGGGAAATCGCTGTTTGAGCAACCAGCATCATGTCAGCCTCCATAAGTCACATGATAACCATAATCTCGTTTACCAATCGGGTTTCAGGAAATTACTCAAATGTTTTTTTTTTTTTCTTTTTCCTCCTAGGGTCATTGGAGGATGAAGGTGATCAGTTACAGGAGATTGTGGTAATGCATGTGGATGTGCGGATGTCACAGAGGTAGAAAGGAGAAGGCAGCCCCACTGTCGATGTCCACCTAAGGACGTTCAGGAACCCTGAGAGAGGGAGTGCTGAACGGGGTCTTTGAGCTACGCAGTGGTCTTTGTAAAACACCTACTAGCAGTATATGTCCATAAAGAATTACAACTTGACATTAATGCAAACATTTGTATTACTCATCTGATTCTTTGTAAATTAGCTTTATGTATCTAATTTTCTCTGATGAAATATTAAAAAACAGGTTAGAGAAATGGACACGAAATTTCTCTGAGACTTGGAGAACTTTTGCCAGTGAGCCACTTTCAGACCAAGAGTGTGTCCGCTGCTTCAATGAATGTAGCCGACATAAATAAATGTGCATTAGTGTATCTGAGAAATGTCACGATCATATTCCTCATTCGTACATAGAAGTGACCTGAGCCTCTCACATCACCAAAGGATGTTTTCGAGAGACAGCTCTGTTCCGGCTTGTATTTATGTCTGCGGAGGATAGTCTTCTGCATATACACCTGATTGTCTTCATTGACTGATGTGACCAGCTTTAAAATGCAACATTCCTAAATCATAACAGTTATATGTAAGGCATTCTCCATTGGGTTATGCACAGGTTCTATAGAGCGTTTAGTGTTCTTTGGCATTATGAAGTCAGAAACAACAGGCCAAATGGAGCCAAATGATTCCACTCACTGATGATGAAGAGTACACCAACTGTGGTTCACAAAACAGGTTAGGATGAGTATTAATTCTGTTTTAAAGTTCCCCTGAGTAGTCTGGTCATCTATGCACTGCTAATTACACTCCAGTGCCTGAATGATTGTATATGTGAGTAATTGACGTGTGCTTTGTTTTGCATTTATTCACCAGAAGGGGGAGACAGTAACTCATTTATTTTAGCATACCTGATCCATGGTAATCTAGCACTGTCCTGTTGACGACCTCCTGCAAACCCATATCTCACTCTCTCTCGGGATGTTTACCTGGACCCCTGTTAGCCTTCCTCAGATGAAATACATTTCTTGAAACAACTTTTTACCCATCTGACACTTTCATCAAAATACAGCTTTTAAAGCATTTAATTTGACATTTTCCAAAGGTAATCTGATTTATCGTTGCCTGGTTATTCTGGAAGCTGCTCTTGCCTTTGGTGATTGTGTTTTCCCACTGAGACAAAATCGCAGCCCACGTCAGTCTCTGCGCCGCGGTCTCAGGTATTTTCAGTGAAGTGTGACGCTGGTGTATTCCATCCGGCATTTCCCACCACTATTGTGGCATGTTCCCAAAATTTCCTGGAGGCTTAGTGAAGCTATAGGTGAAACACAGTAGTTGAAAGCAAGGGACTATAAATGTGAACTGCCTTGCAGTGCAATAACGTGAGCGGGTTTGCTAGATGAAGCAGACTGAGTCTAAATGTCACCTAAGGGTCTGCGGTATCTAGCAAACCGTTTCAGCTTTATCTAACTTTACAGGCACCCAGGCAAATTCAGCCCAGGGTCTGAATTTCTAATGTCAGAAACTCACCGGGGGTCCGTGAAATTCAAAGGAACCTCAACAAACATTGCTTTTGCATTTGAAAGAATGCAACTAATACATATCCTGCAATTCCCTGGGTTTTGCAGTTGCAGATGAACCGGCATCATCGCCTGAAGTGCATTCTTGCAAAGCGCACACACAGGATAGCTACATTTCCCAGCAGCCTGGCTTTTGCGCAAGTCAGCCTACAGTCCCGAAAGATACAAAAAAAGAAATCAAACGACGTCTAGTTGAGTCTTCCAGTACCCGGTGAGCAAAATATATCTCAACTCGCTTCTGCGTGTACATGCGTGTCGTCTGTGGAAACATTAACTTTCTTTCTCCCTCTGTATGTTGATCCAGAACAG